CAACAGAATTTTTAAAAAATTAAGACATGTGGATGAAGTAAGATGTTTAGCTTGCATAAGATATATTTTTTTTTAATGAACAAAAATTTTTTAATGGGTTACTTTAAAAAGTTTTTGCACAAAGTGTGACAGAATGACCAAAATAACCATGGATAAGTATTGCTTAATATATTTCCATAAAGCAAAAGAAAATCATTCCAGATGATTAGATATCAATATTATTTGTCATCATAAGAAATAAATCAGTAATGAATTTCGCTAAATTAGTTTATTGTGTCCTATTCCACTGGGCAATGTGTGATGAGATGCTTAAAAAGAGTTCATATCAGAGATTTAAATTTAAAAAAAATTTTGAAAAATCCATAAAATAACAATTGAGTTTTGTAAAAGTTTCTGCGAAATTTAATAAAAATATTCTGCTCAAATGTCATTAGACCAAAAAAATAAATAAAGAAAGTTATATTTACAAACTTATAAAAGCTATTGTAAATGCGAAAGGAAGCGTAAATCTTAATTTAACAAAAGATTAGAATATTTATTAATAGGGGAAATATTCTTAAAAGTGCACAATGATTTTTGTGAGATAAAGTTTTTACTTTTTAACGATTGATTTCGTAAAAATAAACTTTTTGACTTTAACCCTTTGTTTACGGCTGGTACAATAAACAAATCAGAATGGCTTCATCATGCTAAAGCGCCGTAAGCAAAAGGTTAAAATATTCCATTTACTTTTGCTAAGAATAGAATATATTTTTTATTATTAAATATCTATTCTAAAATATTTATTTTAATTAATAGATAGTTTTATTTCATTAAAAGTCATAAGTGTAAGAACAATTTTGTGTGTCAGTGTATTTACATTTCAATATAAAGTAATTTTTTTTTTAAATCTTAACAGCGCTTTTTATAAATTTAATTAATCATATTTTCTTTAAACCAATGCCTCAAGTAAAATTTTTAAATATTATTTCGATTTAGCATTATTAAAAAGATTCTGCATACAAAAATAAATATCGCCAATGCAAAACTTTCAAATTTCTTGTCGCATACTCTACAGAAAAAGATAAATTCTTAAATTTTATACTTTTTTGCTATTTCTTATTTGAATTTAAAATATTTAACCAATTCCAATCTAAAAACAAGGTTTTTTAGTCCAACAAAGTTAATTGTTATTGATGCGATTCAGAAGCAAGGGCAAGGTAGCAGTTATGCTCGAAATCCGTATCCTAATGTGGACTNAAATTTTGTATGTACTTAGGCTTTAGAACAATTGCCGTATTGTCTGGCGCAGCATGTCCTCATTTGGACTTTGTGCCACTAAACCCTACATTCAATCAATCAATCCTATAAATCCCTTAGTCTTTGTTAGAATTTTAGGTTAAAGAGAGAAATAATTTTGGAAATATCATCTCTGGAAAGCAAGCAACAATGAAGAACTTACGATATTGTGATCATTATACAATTCTAATTTAGAATAAAAAATCAAATACTATACTTACCAACAAAACACTGAATTTAAATATTAATATATTGTTGGTTTTTAAAAAGGCTTTTTTGATTAGAAAATGTTATAAAAGTTTGAAATAAAATTGAGAAAATTATCATTAATGCAACAAATGTAATGATTTGTAGACAAACATTGCAGTTAGTATTAAAATGTGTGATAGGTTGGCTTAGCTGAGAAAAAAAATAATTCACAGATTTCATTGGATGGGAGTACAAAAATTATCAGAAAAAATGTGTAATATAAAATCTATTGTTATAACTAACTAAATTTTGGAGAATTTTATAAAGTTAAAAATTGTACATTTTGTCAAACTAGAAAAAGAAAATTACTACCAAAACATCAGAACAAACTTGAACCATAAACGGATTTAGCCCATGGACAGAAATTAAAAACAAAAGCAAATATTCCAACCCCTTCTTTCCCCTCCACCACAATCTTTGCCTTTCCTAAACAGCAGAATCTCATAGTCTTCATAGAAGTCAAAGGTTTTTATCATTTAGCAACTACGCTAGGGTTTTCTGTAACATTCTAGTTTAACAGCGTTATAATGGAGCAAATTTTGATGTAAACAAAATATCACAAACTTGATAATATTTTAACGATGCATTTCTGTCAAAAAAAAAGTGAAATGGTCAAAATATTTAAATTAAGAAAATTAATAACTTATTTAAATTAACAAAAAATTAAAAAAATATTTCCAGCTTTTCTTCAAAACTCCCTGATTTATCCACATTTCCCTGATTCTTCCAGGGTTTTTTCCAGTATAAAAAAATTCCCTGATAATTCAAGGTGGGTGGCCACCCTAAAAGTGTAACCATTCCGAAGCCCGAAAAAAATGTGAACGGAAAATTAGTACATAAATAATAAACAATTATCCACTTATCTGAACGACGTTTGGTCCAGGGCAGTTCAAGTAATAGGCGCAGTTCTATATACATATGTGTGTGTAACTTACCAAATTATCCTCTTTATCTTGCTCAATCAGATTATTTTTTGAACCAAAAATATTCTCTATATCTTGCTGAGAAGCATCATCAATAATCAAAATATCTTCACGAGAACATCCAGGAACTGAAATATCTTTATTCTCCTGGTTCTAAAAAAATACAAAGGAATTCTTTCAAATACTGAAACAACAAGAAAGGAAGAACTTTAAAACTTGAGAACAAATGCTCAAAAATACAATCCAAAGGAGTCAATCTTTATTTTAAAATGATTCAAAATTACTTTTTAATAGGTATTCTTATAATTGTTTTAACATGGTATGCTATAAATAAACTTTTAAAATTGTCAACTCTAAGTTTGTTCAACTACAGAATGGGGTGAATTTCTAAATCTTCCCAGACAAGCAACTATAGATACTTTTAATAAAATTTTTAACAATTGGGCTATTTCATTTGGTTTGAAAAAGTTCTGATAAGGAAACAATCCTTAGCCAGATTGATAGTATTGCTTTATAATAAATTTTAACCAGGATAAAATTCTCAAATTTGTTTACTAATTGGAAACAATGTTTAGACATTGAAAAGTGTTGCAACCGATTTGGGTGTTGGAGAGGTAACAGTTGGTGACTGGCGCCGCAATCGAATAAAAATTGAGCAGTATTGTTCACAGAAGTGCAATGAGACTCCAGGAGAAAAAAGAAAATCTATGAGAACATCAGACTATGAAAAAACTAGCAAGGCTTTATTTCTTTGGTTTATTCAACAGCGTAGCAAAGGTACTCCTATAAGTGGCCCTATTCTTCAGGAAAAAGCTGTGTTTTTCAGAAATCAGTTCAAAGAAGGAGAAGAAGATTTCGCAGCAAGCGTTGGTTGGTTAGACCGTTGGAAAAAACGATATGGTGTACGTCAACTTAAATATTTGCGGTGAAATACTCTCGGCAGATACGTCAGCTGTGCAGGCATTTCAAAAACGGATTGAAGACATTATATTGACGGAAAAGCTCACACCAGACCAGTTATATAACTGTGACGAAACAGGTTTGAACTTTAAGATGTTGCCCTCAAAATCCCTTGCTTCAAAAGAGGAAAATTCAGCTCCAGGTCACAAAAAACGGAAGGAACGATTAACCATTTTNAACTGTGACGAAACAGGTTTGAACTTTAAGATGTTGCCCTCAAAATATACGTCGTGCGCTGGCTGGGAGGGATACCAACACAACATTATCAACTGCAATCGTGTACAAGTGCGTGTGTGGTTGATTGCACAGAGGGTTGATTGTCAATGTAAATATTCATACATCCTAAATTTATTAGAATAAATTATAAAAAATTTCCAAGTATGTTTGCATTTGTTTACTATATAAATGACAAGCAGTTTGGTAAAGTCCCCGTGGGCTTTATTAAAAGATTTAATTTGAATGATTACCTTGTCGGTAATATTTACAAAGTATTTTGGAGCCGACAGGTGCACTCCATTCAAAGTGAAAGTGACAAGAAAAATTGCGTAATCTTCAAGAACCTCCACCTAAAGATGTATGGCAGCTCTCCCAAGGTGATGGTTATTACCCTGCACACATATTACGCATTGAAGGTAAATATGCATTCTATAAAAGGTTCATAATAGACAAGAGATAATATCAAGGTTTATGCAATAATCATAATCTGCTCCTTCCTTCCTTTTTTTTAGATTCACTTATTAAGAGCCTCAGATTAAAAAGACCCGCAATTCCAGTTACCCGCTGTGAAGAGGAATTTTCTTCAACAGAAGATGAGGCTGCTGCTTTGCAAATGCATAAAGAAAATAAAAAGCAAGAAGTTATGCTCTTTTAAATTTTTTATTTCTTGTTATCATTTAATCGAGTTAACTGTAAAAATTAATATTTGTAGTTAGAAGTAGATATATAATTTTACTAGAAGTAGATATATAATTTTACAAAGTGATTTAGAAGATATCTTTATTTGTCTAAGCCTGTTTTCTTGTTGAAATAGGCGTACCCCTGTTAAAATGAGTGTTACTTTTTGAGTCTCCAATGTAGGTTGTATGTGTTGATGAGAGCAAATTGGTTGAAGTCTAACAAAAAGATCCTCATTCTTGACTTTAGTCATTTTATCTTGCATTGAATTGTAATTAAATTAATGTAGTGGTAGACTATATTTTTTCTATTATATTGCAGAATCAGGTTCGCTACAATATCTTAAATGAATGATTTGAAACTGTTAGATAAAGAATTAGTAATGGCAAAGAGCATGTGTAAGTATATGCTATTATCAAAGACTATTATATAACAATGGTTAAGAGTCAAAATTGAATCTTATTTAAGTTATAAATCTAAGATTTTTTTAGGTCTACATTTTTCTTGATTCCAGTACCAAGTTAGTAGAATTATTAAGTTACTGAAAATTAAACTAATGAAATTTGAAGGTTAAATAAAAATTAATTCTATTTTCTGGACTATTTTAGTTCTTAATATGTTATGTAGAAAATTTTTGAAACATAAAAATAATCTTCATTTTAGTAATTTCTTTATAGTAAATATTCAGCATTTTGAAAAATTGAGATTGTCAAGTTTTTTTTTTGTTGCTAGAATACATTATTACTGAAGCTTTAATTTATTTATCTTTTAGGATGTTCACATAAAGAAGCAAGAAGATGCTGGGAAAAGGAGAAGAGCCCTGGACATTTTCAGAGCAGCCAAAAAGTCCCGAAAAGAAATGTTCAGTGAGCTAGGTGTGCCCAAAATAATATTGTAAAAAAGTTTTCATTTTTCAAATTAATTTTAAAAGCAGCAATCAGAGTTTATGGTTATATTCAACAAAACTATTGTGATCATTCCTAATTTTGATTAAAATATTTTTAGCTTTATAAAAAGAAGTGGTGTTATCTATTCTTTTATATATTCTTTGATAGCTTAAATTTACTAAAACTTTTTTTAATCTATATTTCATATTTTATGAAAAAAATAGGCTAAAAACCACAAATTTCATAAGATTTAATAAGTATGTCCTTTGAGAATTTAAAAAATAAAAGAACATAATTTTAACTTTATCACTTTCTATAACACTATCATTCTAATCAAGTGTTAGTATTAGAGTTAATTTATAAGCTTGCAAATAGTTGATAAACTCAAAAGCACTTAGGTCATAATATATTGTCTTATTTCAGCTTAATATCTCTGTCTCTAAAATTGTTTTCCAAATTACAGAACTTGAAAATGAGTCTGACTGCCAAAGCTCAGACGAGGATCCTGAAGTCATACCACGAAGACTCTTTACACAATTAAAAGAGTCATACGATAATTTGGAAATTGAAAAGGAAAAAGCAGAAAAAAAATAGAAAGCCTTGAAAAAAAAATTTTGGATTATGAAAAAAAATATGATGATATTAATGAAGTTGTTGAGTTGCGAAGAATGAATAGACAACTTCAGGAAAAGATTCTACGTTTGCCAGCTACACAAGGTAATTTTTATAAATCTCATTCTTGGCACACATAGTACAAGAAAAAATTGAAAAATAAAGTTTTTTAATTGTTCAGGATTTCTGCTGCATTTATTAGGCCTCATTATTTTCTCACTTTGGATTAAGCTTCCGAAGCTCCCAATTTTAATTCAAAAGATTTTTAGTTGTCTACTTCACAATTTTAGCGTAATTAAATTTTGTAAATAATTTAAGTAGAATCATAAAGAAAAGTTTTGTTTTAGAAATAAATATGTGAATTATTAATGTTAAAAAAAAAGGTTAATTACCAACATATTTTTCATTTGTGTTATCTTTAGCATATAATTAAAACTTTTTAAATTTGAGGTATCCCTTTTAAGATTTTTACGTAAGAAAAACTGTAATATTTGTGTGCATTACTGTTGTAAAAGCATTGAATTAAAAACTGGGTGAAATTGACTCCGCACTTTTTCTGGCATGCATTGTTTTTTGAATTTTATCATTTCTATTGAAGGTGGGGAAAAATTTGCAAAAAAAAAGCATTTAAAATCTTACTAAGTAGTTTAAAATTTTAGTGTTTTTTAAATGTTTAATAAAAAATTTTCAAGGTTTTTATTGCACTGCAAAAATCTTAAATACTGAACAAGCATTTTCTTAAACATTTTTAATTTCCATTGTTTAATAATTAGTCTGTTTCAGTGAAAAATAATTCTTTTATTTTAGTCATCCGTTGAAAAACAATTTTTTTGTTTAAAAATTAATTATAGTTAAAAAAAAAAAAGATCTGATTATATATTTATTCATTATTTCTTCAAAATTCAGAAACTATTACTCCTTTTAAAAAATTTATTTATAATTTGTAGCTTAGGATTTCTCAGCTGTTTTTCTTGATAACGTATTTAAAACGTAAAAAAATGACAAAGAAAATTTGTAATAAAAATTTATCTGCAAGTTGATATGTTGGGGCCGAAGGTGATTTTAGTCAATAAGCATACATAAATTTTTTTATCTGGCATAAAAGGTTGATAAACTTTTTCATTCCTTTAAAAAGTGATTTGATTAATTTAAGAAGTAATGATAACTTATTGTATAACTTCTATATTTTATAGGAGAATGCTCTTGTGCAAAAAGAAATTTCCCAGAAATTCCAGTTGCAAGCGATTCTGAAGCAATGGAGGTATGGCAGAAGTAGCAATTGGTTTATTTTTTAACAGTCTAATTTATAGATGCTAAGTGATTGGCAAAATATGTTTTTATCATTATTTTTCGCATTCTTTATTAAGCTAAAAATTTTATAATATAAATTAGACTATTCTTAGAATTAATAAATTTGAAAGGTATATATTTAATTGTAAAAATATGGCAATTTTCATAGGAAAACACTTAGAAGTATATATATTGAATGCCGCTCTGTGCTAAAAGAATTTTTGAATTGTTTTTAGTAACGATTTTGGGTTTATATACAATTAATACATACTTATAAATAATGAACTAAACATGGTTTTTTTAATAAATTGATATATTTTCATTTGCAAATTAATAAAAAAAAAATATGTATAAAGCAAATTATTCAATTGAAATGCAAGAATTAATGAATGCTTTTTTGACATTATAAATCGAAAACTTATAACGAATTATTAAATAATTCGTGCAATTTCAAACAGCAAGTATTTTAAAGAAAAAAAGCTGCAAATTTCCAGTGTTGAAACGTGGTTATCACTTTGTTTTATTTTATAATTGTAAAAACTTTGAAATAGTTTGTTAAAAACGCGTGCGTAAAAATGCATACATTCGTTAAAAAAATAACTTGCAGGAAAATATCTAAATTTTTTTAAAATTAATACTTTTTATTTAAAATTCACTAAGTTTTAATTTTAAAATGACGAAAATTGTGAAAAAAAAAGCTACTTAAACTGTTATTTTGCCTAGAAGTGAAACAAAATGTAGACTTTTGTCAGTGTCTAACTTAACATTTCTCTGTGTGTGTGTTTTTAATTATATATATATATATATATATAATTTTAGCTACTTTTTTCTTTCAGTTTGAACTTGGAGGTGGAATTTTTATAAATAAAAATGTATATAATGAACTTTTTAATCTGGATCATATCAGAAAATTTACTAAGAGTCTTGCTGTGGCTATGTGGGGGACAGCAACATTAGCCACCAGGTCCGTTTCAGGAAAACCCTGCAAAAATAGAAATTAGCCTAAGAAAGTGGCTCCATCAGGTGGAAGTTAAGGAAGCCAGCCTCAGCAAGAGCCAAAGCCTCCATTAACACCAGAAAAACTGGCAGTGATCTCAGGTAATAAGAACCTATAAATATGACTATATACTTGATAATATAACTTACTTCTGATTGACCAGCTTTCATTTCATGACACCACAACTATATAAATTTTATTTTCATCAGCATTGGCACGACAGCCCTTTGTGGGCCTGGGCCTTCCTCAGAAGCTTTTCCCATTCTGCCCTTCTCCCAGCAATTGTTTTCCAGTTCTTTATCATGCAAAAAAAAAAAAAAAATGGATGTGCAAATAATATTTAAATAATCCTGCGTTTAATATTTTACATTTTTAATAATCCTGGGTTAAGTGTATTTTGCTCTCTCTATGACCTTTCAATATCAAAATTTTAGTTGGACAAAATAATATAATAATAATAGGGTTACTCCTTGTAAAATGGTCTTAGAATATTTAAACATTGCTTATTGAGTAAGGTATTTATTCATTTGATAAACTTCTTTTATAAAATAAAAGGTGTATACTGCTGTGCTATAGATGTATTAATAAATTACAAAAAAACTCACAATTGAGATTTTAACATCTTTGTAAATTTTGAATAACATAACATTTGCCTTTCTTACCAGTTATCTGAAATTTTATTTCAGTGTCAATAGTATTAGCAAAAAAAAGGAAAGGAAATGTCAATCCATTTTCTAAAAATATATTCTGAAGCCTGACTTCTTTATTTTAAATTCCACACTTGCTGAACACCACTTCCTTTGAAGTCTCAATATTTGTCATATTGTGTTTCCTTTGATAACATTGGCAAAGACTGGGAATGTAACAGTGTGTTATGAGAAATATTTTAATTTATAAGTTGAAAGTTATTTTATTAATTTATGAATGCCTTAACAAATGTGTCTGATTGAAATTACATAAATGACTGTTTTTACTTTGGCTCTGATATCATTAATTAATCCTGATCACAACAGTTTTAATTACAATATGCTCTCTGCCTTTTGCAACTTTGCTAATTTAAGTGGTGGAGACAGTGTAGTTCTATTTGTTATAAATTTGATAAAATATTTCCCTACGCTAAGTTTTTAGATACGAAAAAGGTGTTTATTTGGTTAAAACATAGATTCTGCTGTTTAACTTTACTATTTTCTTGGAGTATTCGCTTCAGTTTCTTATGAGGCCAAAATTCAAATATTATCAGGATGTAATGAGATAATACCAACAATGAATAATGCATATATTTTTGTGTTATATATCCAATATTTATATTTCAGAGCTTATTTCATAAATTGCTTTGAAAATTCTATTAATTTTAAAAAATATATATATATAGCGTCATACATATCTGAATGGCAGGGATTACACAACATACTCGTCACCCAGGTAAAGGCAACGTGGCGACTAACATGCTCATATAAAAAATTGCAGAAGCTTTCTTGCTACTTAATGTAAAATTTTACAGTGAAAGATGTTTAAAATATCATTTAGATGCTACATAAATGTTTAAAATTGTGAAAGTTCAAACTAAATATTGTCTTAATTGAAATTTTTGTAAAGATTTAAAAATTTGTTGTGGTTTATTTTTTACTGAAGAACTACCCAAATTATCAAAGTTCAGCTTTTAACTATTCAAAAATAGTCATCAATTCATCCACAGCTGGAATATTTTTGCTCTTTAACAAACAGATTTTTTTAGCAAAGTTAAGACTTTTGCAAGTGCTATTGTTTTTTAAAAACTTGTATTTATTTTTATTTGCCTTTTTCCATATTAACATTATATTTCAGGTCAGATGAGAAAATATCTAATGAAAAGAGGAGTCACTGCCACAGAAATGGAGGAGGCTATGAAGAAAAGAAACAGATCTGATAAAATCCAGGATATACATATATTCTAATATTGCTAAAGTTAATGATTCTTAAACAAAATAAATCTCTTTTAAGTTTTCTTATTTGTCTTCTCTTATATGAATATCAATCAATCAAATGATTACTGGTAATTATATATTTTACACAAAATTTAAAGGTATATTTGCATCATATTTAATATTTGTTAAAAAAGGGGGGGGGGATCCTAGATACACACATAATAATCCTACTGTTAAAAAGCAAGCCTGAGAGGTGGGATTCATAGTCGAGAAAGAGTAAAATTAATTGCTAGTAGGAAATCATTAAACATAGCAAAATTTAAAGCAACAATTTGAAAATTAATGCTAGAATAGCAAAGATTATAAGAAATTAATAATAGTAATATAAATAGCAAAAATTTGAAGCAACTGATGGTAGAAAAATAATGCTGGAATAGCAAAGTTATCAAGCAACTGTTGGTAGGAAAATAATGCTAGAATAGCTGAGATTCCAGGCAACTGATGGTAGGAAAGTAATGCTAGAATAGCAGAGATTTCAAGCAACTGATGGTAGGAAAGTAATGCTAGAATAGCAGAGATTTCAAGCAACTGGTGGTAGGAAAGTAATGCTAGAATAGCAGAGATTTCAAGCAACTGGTGGT